ACACACCTACACACACACACACACACACACACACACACACCTACACACACACACACACACACACACACACACACACACACACACCCACACACACACACACACACACACACCCACACACACACCCACACACACACACACACACACACACACACACCTACACACCCACACACACACACACACACACACACACACAGCTGCAACGTTCAGCTGCATCAGACTACAGCAACAATCAGACACAAAACCTGAGAAGCAGATTTTTCCATCAAACGTCTCTGATGATAAAATAGAAAAAGCTTTAAAAAAGAAAATCATCTTGACTCAGTTTTCCTCTTATTTTTCCTTAAACGTCATCAGGAAAAATGATCAAACTCCAGTTTCTCATCCTGTCATAGGAGAAAACATGAATAAATTCATGTTATTTATTCATTTATAAACGTCACTTTCAAAATAAATATTACATTTTTAGTTAGCCAACAAAATATTTAGCTCAAAACTAAAATATTGAGCTAAATATTTAGATAATATTCAAATTAGTTTGCTGATAAGCAGAAGTAGACTTTCAAAATAAAAGCTGGGTATCACAAACATCAATGTAAATATAACAATAGAATATATTGATCTTTTAGCTTTCTAGCTAAATAATTGGCTTCAAACTAAATATTTAGTTTGCTAACTAAACTGTGATATTAATGAATGAATGAATGAATGAATGAATGAATGATGATGAAAATATGACTGAAATATGAAGCCCTATTTTTGTTTAACAGGATAAAAACTAGAGTTTTGTTTAGCTCTGCAGCAGGAACATTCACGGCGACCCGGTTCTTACGTTTTGGGACCACCTGGAGGCGGATGATCTTGGTGGTGCTGTTCTCATGCTGGTAGTTGGTGTAGATGAGGGTTCTCCTGAAGATGCACATGTAGGTTCCCGTGTCGTTGAAGGTCACGTTCAGGATGTAGATGGAGCCGTCCTGCAGGTCCTCCGTGTTTTTGCTGCCGTTCCAGTCCAGACGCTCCTCGAAGCGCGGGTCGAAAATGTTGCCCCTTTTCTCCTCATACTCATACAGCTGGAACAGGAAGCAGAGGAGAGACGGGAGCCGTGAGAAGTTTATGGGAACCAGACCCAACCCTGAGGAACACCGAGCCGCTGCGGACCGCAGGCTTCCTGCCTGGACTCCTGCAGTGAGAGCGGCGAGTGGATGACCGTCTGCCCAGAGGACAGGAGGATGTAAGACTCGGCTCTCTGCTGATGAAGGCGTCTGATTCCCACAGGCAGGAAAACCGAACAGAAATCCTGCAGACGATGAGGGAACCAGTGAAGCTGCTTCCAGCTGTAGCAGGTGGATCATTTCTGCAGGATTTCTCTGCTGATCAAACTGCAGCTAAAATTATGAGTATAAAAACCTGCAGAGGAAAAACGGTGGAGCTGCAAACACTGGAGCCTGACTGACCTGAGCAGCAGTTTGGGATTTGCTCCCCTGAAGAGCATCGGTGGTCATCTTCTGTTCATGACCTGTTTAGACACAACCTGCCGGCGGAGAGCAGCAGAGTGATGAAGCTGTGGCTCTTACCGGAGAGAAGTCTTTGTCGTTGGCGCCTCTGAAGGACCAGGAGACCACGGCTTTGGCCCGCACCTCGGCTCTCATCTTGCAGGAGATGCAGCCCAGTTTGAAGCCCTCGTTGGCCACGGCCTCCGTGTCCGAGTCCACCTCCACGCAGGCGCCGCGGCACAGGCCGGCTGCAGAGAGGAGGAGTTCTGTCAGTTCCTGCTGGTCGCAGGTCAGAGGTCAGAGAGCCGTGGGCGGCCGTCGGGCTCCAGGAGGAGCTGCAGCGTTTTCTCTCAGTACTCGCAGGCAAACTCTCAGTACTTCAGAAAACAGCAGGAGCTTCTGTAGCTTTGGCTTTGCGTGCTTGCTAAGTGCTCAACACATGCGTGACTTTTTTTTTTTTTTTGGTTCTTTTTTTCTTGCAATGTTTTTATTTCCGCTCATCGCTTCACTTTGATATTTGATAAATTTGGATTTCGGTTCTGCTGAAATTTTCTCTTCAAAATGTGAAACTGAGAGGAAATAAAGAGGCTGCAGTGAGACGGTTGTTCTGCATTCTGTCAGTTCCCAACCGGAGCCAACATCATATATAGAGGCGAGAGTCTATATATGCCGATTATCATCATCATCATCATCATCATGACACAAACTCGTCATCGGCCAAAGTAACACACCTGGAGCTCCACAGGTTTCTGTCTCAAACTGCATCTCGCAGTTTCCACTGAGGCCTCAGCACCGATCTCAACCAAAGATGTGCTACCCTGAACTTTCACCTCAGGGGGCGGGGCATGGGGGGCATGGGGCGGGGCATGGGGGGGGCTTTCATTTTAATAACAAGATGGAGGAGGGTTGGGAGGTGAAGGGAGAAGACAGGAAACAACTGTAAATCAGATCAACGCTGATAAAAGCTTTAAAATGTGTTTGGTTTAAATCTGAGGCTGTTGAAGATCAGAGGAGCATGAAGGGGAAGAACGATGGAGGACAGAGAGGAAAACGTTTGCAAGATGGAGATGAGGGGAGAGAACAAGAAGAGGTCAAAGGTTAGCTGCAGAGGAAAAGGAGGAAAAGAGAATATTAGGAGCAAAATTATATAGAAAACTGTTTATTCATCATTTCATATCAACCAACTGATCACTTCACTTATTGATTTTATGATTTATTCATTAGTTGTTCATTTGACCAGCAGCATCACAGTCAGAGGTACAAATGTGACGTTTATAGGTTATAGATCTGTTTCTGTCTCTGAGGTCAGGAAGAACCGATCAGCTGATCCATCAATGGATCAGCTGATCGATCAGCTGATCCATCAATGGATCAGCTGATCGATCAGCTGATCGATCAGCTGCTCTGCAGAAACACCAAAGGAAACAGATCAGAAGCTTCTGATCCACAAACTGTGAAGCTGTTAGACCTTCAGCATCACAATAAAACTTTGGGTTTTGGTCCAACCTTCACTAAGACCAAAGATCCAACCGATCATCCAAGTCCTTCCTGAAACTGGACCCAGACTTTATGAAGAACATTCAGTATCTCAACCAGACTTTGGATAGACCGTCTAAGACGTCTGCGTTTCCTTACAGACGATCCAAGCTCTCATCAAACGTGTCTGAAGTCTGGATGGTGGATCCACATTCTGGCTGGTTTTCATGTCTGGTCCAGAAGAAATCATCTTCTGATCATCAGCTGATCAACGGCAAACACTTTTATCCCACATAAACATAGAAATGCAACAATTTAACTAATAAACCAAAGCACAAACTCTCAGCAAAATGATTTAACATGATATTCTGCCGACGTATCAGGGAAGTTATCTGTTATCTTTCCTCCTGCATCAGAGATTCTCCAGCCTGAGAATCACTGATTCCAGCACAGAGAAACCAGACTGTCCTTTTAAACCACTGAGCTTCAGTCTGAGTCCAGCGCCGCCCGGCTGCGTCTCACAGGTTCATGTTTTAACCCGAAGCGACGGCTGATCTGAGGCCAGATTCTCCGGTTTTCAGGTTATCTGCCTGGCAGATCCGCAGCGCGCCGAACAGACCCGAGGCAAAAGGTGCATCTATAAATACTTAATGCCAGAAGAAGCAGCTACTTCTGGTGCTTCAGCTTCATCTCTGCTGCAATCATCTCCTTCGCCTGTGAGCAGCTCCAGCTGCCAGAGGGACACAAAGACACTCATCGATTCACGGCAGAGACACGGACAGCAGCAGGCCTCCAGTTATCCAAACACTGATTATTCACGACGCTCTGCAGCTCCAGGCAGGAGGGGAAGGTTTGTTTGGAGAAAACCTGGAATGCAAGTAGAGGAGAAACTCTGACTCTGCAGCAAACACGGGAAAAAACTGGAGTTTGGCTGCAGGATTCATCAGCCTCAACGCAAAACAGGAAGCAAAGCAAAAAGGTTCAAATCTGGAGGTCAGAGATGTAAAAACTCCACATCCCGAGAAATAAAAGCAGCCGACGCTTTAGGAAATAAATCCTTAAATGACTCATTTTAACTGATTTAGGAAGCAACAAGAGCATCAGAGCAGAAACTGAAGGTCAGCATCGTCTGCTGGAGTTTATCAGGGGTCTGCTGGTGTGTGTGTGTGTGTGTGTGTGTGTGTGTGTGTGTGTGTGTGCGTGCCTGAGGCAGAGCTGCTGCTTCACATGAATCTCCACCATTCTGGGGTTTGTTCTTTGCTGTTCAGAAATCAGGAGAGCATGAGGAGCTGCGTCATTCTGGTTCATCCTGATTTGCCAGGAGGCGCCGCGTTTATCCGTTCAAACGCTTTCATGATGTCATAGAGAGGATGAGAAAGTCCAACCGTTATTCTGCTCAGGAAGGAGACGAGCTC